TGTGCAGATTTCTCTGGCAATCACTCTCTGGGGACACAAGCATACCTCACTGCATGGCCTCAGCACATGGCTGCTCCTCTCTATCAACCAAACAGGGGCAGCAGGCTCACACATGTGCATGCACACTTAAATGAGTTTAGTCATGAAGAAATGGAAAGAAAACATGTCTAAAATCGGCATCCAGTTTTCCTCTTATTTGGCTTAACCGTCCCCATGAAGGTTTACTGCAGCGGTTTGCTGGCTGACTGCATCTGTCACTCAATCCTTTGAATCTCCAAAATGCTTCCCTCTGATTATCCCTGAAATATCAAGGGGAAACTGAGAGAGCAGTAAAAGGGGTGACCACAGCAAATTAGAGAGGATCCTGGGTGGAGAAAGAAGAAAGGTGGGAGCAGAGCAGTACGGATGCTCCGGCTGTAACTCTGGTTAGTAAACCGCAGTTGGAGGCAAAGGGTTCAGAAAACAGGGAGTGCCCCTGCTGTGTCTCTGAAGGAGAGCAAGTTGGAGCCAGAGAGTGAGGAAGGGGCAATTCCCTGGATCCCAGCTGGGGGTATGCAGAGTGCCTGCAAGGAACTCTCTGCCCTAGGGTGGGACATGGGACAATGGAAGGGTCTTCTATCAGCCAAAGGATGCACTGGGTCAAGGCACCCAGCAGACATGCTGCAGATGAGCTCCATTAGCTGTGGGGCAGGGAGAGCTGCACCCCAGTGTGGGGTGGCAGCAGTGATAGAAAAGAGTTGTGAAGGTCCTACAGCATGCTGGACTCAAGCCAAGGATTTCCAGACTTCCAAAAATGCCAGGCAGGGGTGGCCCAGTCAAAGTCTTACATGGCACTCGAGGCACTTTTCAGGAGTGTAGCCATGTTACTGCAACCATGCTTGCCTCCAACCATACCTTCCCCAGCAGTCATGCCCTTGCTTTTATCCTGATGCATATGCAAATATTCGGGGGCAGTTTCCTCTTTAAACCTGCCATGCACACTCTCCCCCCACCTAATGCAGCCTGTGCACCTGAGGCACTTTTCAATCAACACTTTCCAAGCATTTGAGGGGAAAATGAGGGTTTTCCTTCAATTTGTCTTACTTTCTGCATTTCTTGGAGGTAATTTCAGCTGAAGGGAAAAGCTGCATTCAACGGTTATTATTGATGTACTTCCCATCTCTTTAAAATGTCTCTCTTTCCAGGTGCCCAATCAGAGGTCCAACTGGTGGAGTCTGGAGGAGATGTCAAAAGGCCAGGAGAGTCCCTCCGCCTCTCCTGTCGAGCCTCCGGCTTCACCTTCAGCAGCTCCTGGATGACCTGGGTGAGACAAGCACATGGAAAGGGACTGGAATGGATAGGAGACATTAATGGAGCTTCCTCTACCATTCGCTACTCAAATGCAGTGAAGGGGCGCTTCACCATCTCCAGGGACAATGCCAACAATCTGCTCTACTTGCAATTAAACAACCTGAAAGATGAAGACACGGCCCTGTATTACTGTGCAAGAGACACAATGGGGGGAAGTGAATGTGCAGCCTGGCAAAAACCCTTCTCTGGATTGAACAGCAGTATCACAGCAGCACCACAGCTTAGAACATGAAGGGTTCACAAGGCAAAAAGAGCTCCAGCAACATCACCTACACCAACCAGTGCCCTGGGGACCACTTTGCAACTAACCCTTTCCAACCATTGCATGGGAAATGGATCGTTTTCCTTCCGTATAGCTTATTTGTAGCATAAAATAAGCTATACAAAAAAAATTGGGGGCAGGGGGGTAACTTCTCCTTTCACCCTTAGGACCATGGGAAGTGCCCATTCTCAACGTATCTCTCAGATCTTTTAATGTCCTTCCCAGAAGTCCAGGTTTCCCTCTGCCTTTTCTGTCCTTCCTCCCGCTTCACCTTGAGCAGCTTCTGCATGAGCTGGTGAGAGCAGCCCCTGGGAATGGACTAGAATGGAGTGTGGACACAGGGGCAGACCGGAGCTGGCAATGAAACGGGCCCCCTGAAGGGGCGCTTCACCAACCCCAGGAAGAACGGCTCCAATGTGCTGCTTCTCCAAATGAGCAGCCTCCAAGTTGAGGACCCGGCTGTGGGTGACTGTGCAGGAGACACACAGAGAGAGGACATGATTCTGAAGCCAGGTAACTGGACAGGGGAATCTGTCTAGGAGAATGGCTGAGGGCAGAGGTCCCCTGCTTTCTCAGACCAAAGGTCCATTGGGTCCAGCTTCCTCTTCTTCATGCTTTCCAGCCAAGAGATTGCTCAAAGCAAGGACAGAAAGATCCAGGTGATGCCCTTTTTGCTTTCTACACACTGATTTCCTGAAGGAAGAACTCCAGTGTGAAGAAATTCCAGGATTTGTACTGACTCACAGGTGGTGAAGTAAAGGGCTCTGTAAGGGAGGCAGGAGAGCAAGCAGGTTACAAGGAAGGAGAGGAGACATCACTCCAGGTGCTTTGTCAGGGCCTCTCCACCATCCGCTGTTCATAAGAAGGAAATCACAGGTTCTTGTGCACTCAGTGTTCCTACCTGAGTAAAAGAGGATGCTTCTCTCACAGGGGCTGCTGGGATGCAGGGAAACAGTGCCGAGATGGAACAGGAACCCTAGAAGACACATGGCTCAGGGAAGCACATGCTTTTCTGCGCACCATGGGAACCACCCTGGGCTATGTGTCCTGTTGTGTGAACCAGGCCATGCTCTTTAGTAACCAAGAAAGGAGGCATGGGTCCACTGGATAATTTCTGGGTACCACAATCACTTCTGTTGCCCAACGCCAGAGAACATCCTCCCCCCCCCCCCCCCCCGCATGATACAAACACCAGTATTTCTGCTTTACGTTTACTTCTATATCCACACACAGGTTCCACACACATTTTGATGGCTGAGCTGTGATGTTTACCATCCCATACTCTTTGATTGAAATGAACCTTCTTGCCATCCACGTTCCTCCCAGAATCCCAGCTGCCTATTCACCACAGCTGCTTGAAACCATCATTCACCTTCTGTCACAGCACACAAACCCTCCATGCTCAGAGAGATGCAAACCAGGAGGGCCTGCTGGGAGCTTCTATCCTGAGGAAAAGGATAAAAGAAATGTGAATGGAAATGGCCAACAACCTCCGATTGTTCATAAGCAAGTACATGGATCTTTGCAAAGACAACATGTGTCTTCAGCAATAGATTGCCAAATAATCCTGAGGGTGTTTTCTGCAACCATGCAGGCAAATGTTCAAGACTGCTTCCTCCTTCAAGTTTTTGTGCAATCTCTCTGCAACTACCACAGTATTCTGGGTGCCTGGGACAACTTCTGCTGAACCATTTTGGACCATTACCTGGGCAAATGATATTTCTGCTTCAATTACTTGTCTTTTCAACAGATCAGGGAGGTAAATTTGACATTTAAGATAAAGAAGGCTGACAGACGTGTTGAGTTTATCCACATTTCATGTCTTCAAAGGCCTATCTTTCTAGACTGCCAATCGAAGATCCAGCCAGTTGAATCTGGCCCTGATGTCAAAAGGCCTGGAGTGCCCCTTCACCTCTCCTGTCCAGCCTCCCACTTCAGCAGCCCTGAAGGGAACTGACTCAGAAAAGCCCCTGGGATGAGCCTAGAATGCTTAGCCTACAAACTATCCGCTCACTCTTCATGTGCAAAAGGCAGAGTGGGAGGAAGTGAATCTACAGCCGGGTGAAAAGCATTTTCAGTCAGGACCGTATGTCATGTCTATTGAAGGAAACTGCTCCATAATGAGATTTATTTGGGCTTTCCCTGCAGGGGACACTGCGATCAATGGTGCTGGAGTGAAGCTGTGCTTGTAACCCCAGAAAAGCTCTGCAGCTTGCACGACAGCCTCCAGCTCCCATCTGCAGACCCACCTGGAGGAAGGCCATAATGCAGGCAGAGCACACTGTCTGAGATCAAGCCCCATGTGCCCCGGACTTCTCTTCCCGAAGGACACTTTTCTCACAGTCTAGACAGTTTGTTCTGCAGCAGAATATTGATAGGAAATTGGGAGAGGGAGAGAGAAAGAGAGAGAGTAAAATTGGTCCTGCCACTGCTTGATGAGTGGATTTCCCTGTCAGCCTCTCACCCTATAACCACCACACTGCATGGCTGCTCTCCTCCAGCAGCCCAGAGGGGGCAGCAAGCACACACGAATGATGAATGTCAACTGCCTTTATCCATGCATGATGGGATATAAATACATGTTTGAGAGAGTCATCCATGAGTGACCTTCTGAGACTTCAGCTGCCTCCACAAATGATCCTTGTAATTGTTTGCTTGCCAACGGCTCCTGCCCCTCCATCGTATCAGGCCCCTAAGATGCCGGCTATGATGCATTGTGGGCAGTCAAGGGAAGAGTGCAAGGGAGGGAGCATACAAATGCTTTCAAATATGGTTATCAGAGAATTCGAGAAAGAGCGAGCTGGAAGGGGCCGGGAGGGAACCTGCTTAGTGCAGGACACCAAGTTCAACCTTCCCTGTGGACAACCATCCTGGTGTGAAACAAGGAAAGGTGAAACTGAGAGAGAGGAGTATGTGCTGGTCATTACCGAACTGGACTGAGGCCGTTGGAGCAAGAGGCCTGAGTAGAAGGAGGGGTGCCCAAGGGTATGTCTGAAAGGGGGCCTGGGAAAAAGAGGCACAGCAACTTCGTGGTTCTCAGGAGAAGGCAAGCAGAATACCTGGAGGAACTTCCTGATCATGATGCGGGCCATGGAAGGAAACCTCCATCGCATGAGACTTTGGGAAGCAAGAGTGCCATGCACATAACACCTGCCAAGAGCACACCTGAGGGCTTCCAAAAGTGTGGGGCAGAAAGAACCAGCTGCACTGCAATGAGGCGGCCCTGCTCTCAGGAGGAATGGCGTTGTGCTGCCGCAACTACATTTGCATTGGGCCATAGATTTGTGGGTGGTCACGATTTATCCTGCCGCATATGCAAATGTTCTGAGGCTGGTTCCACTTTAAATCCGCCAGGCACAGTCTCTAACCACTCCGTACCTGGCACAACTTTTCAGTCAATTCTTTCAAACTATTCTAGGGGAAAATGATAATTTTGCTTCATCTGGCCTTGCTTTCAGCAGGCCTTGGAGGTAATATTCTTTCCACAAAAGGGATTTGCTGCATGCAAGGTTTTTATATACAGACTAAGTCACTGTCAAATTCCTTTCCTTCTAGGTGTGCAGTCAGAGGTGCAACTGGTGGAGTCTGGTGGGGATGTCAAAAGACCCGGGGAGTCCCTCCGCCTCTCCTGCCAGGCCTCTGGCTTCACCTTCAGCAGCTATGGCATGCACTGGGCCCGCCAGGCTCCTGGGAAGGGCCTGGAATGGGTAGCCTCTATCAGTGTACATTCCATTCTCACATACTACGCGGACGCCGTGAAGGGGCGCTTCACCATCTCCAGAGATGACTCCAACAGCCTGCTGCATTTGCAAATGAGCAGCCTCAAGCCTGAGGACTCTGCAGTGTATTATTGTGCAAGAGGCACAGCGGGAGGAAGTGAATGAGCAGCCTGGTGAAAAACCCCTTCGGTCTTTGCAGCATTCCATGGCCATTGAAGGAAATTCATTTGAAGAGAAAACAGTATTAACCTGTCCCAACACACACCCCTTTACTCTGTGGAGGGGAGATTATTGGTTAGAAAGTTATAAAGGTCTTGGCTTTTCTCCTTGCAGCTTATTTTGTTCAAAAAGCGATTTATTGATCGGTTGCTGGATTTGCTTGAAAAGAAACACATTTGTTAGGTTTGTGTTTGGAAAAACTTGAATGCTCTTTTGCAGCCCATGGAAAACTCTTTACAAGCACATCAGCGCTTGTGCTTTTGAGCACACATCATATGCACATAGCAAAATACGGGCTGGGAAAAAAACACTAATGTGTGTCCATATTTGATTTCAGGTGGTGCAGGTTTTTAAATGTATTTATCCATTTAAACCAGAAAGTCTGTCTGTCTGTTTGTCTTTCAGTCAGTCCGTCCATGCAGCCAACAGAGAGACAGACAGACAGAAAGACAGAGAAACACAGAGAGGAAAGTTTGATGCAGAGTGAATCTGTCCCAATCTTTAAAACAGAAAATGCAATGCTTTTTCTCACTTTATTTCCACCATCTCTCTGGCCCATGGAAACCCAAGTTGGGTATGTGAACAGAACCCATAAAGCTGAAACGAGTTCATGGAATCTAGAAAATAAAGGGAATGGCTATAATATAATATAATAATATGGGTAAGCACATTTGAGAGACTTGTGAGCCATTTGGAGAGAAGCTTGTGCTCAAAGCGCCACTCCGGGAGGTCTTCTCCTAGTTCTGACTGTGGGGCTGGGGAAACCCCAGGACTTCAGACAAGATGTAGTCCCTTCTGCTCAGAGTGCTGGAAATACAGTTTCTCATCCATGAACTCAAGCATGTCTTTCCAAACTGCTTATCCCAGTGTTGCAGGAATCAAACTTCCCTCTCTCCCAAACCCGGAAGAAGCTACAAATATAAGAAATAGACATGGACTTTGCTTTAGCCCTAAAGCAGAAGATTTGAAATATTTGAGGCACAACTGATACATCACTCAAACCCGGTGTCAGATGTTCCCGGAAACAAAATCTGTCATTGCTGTCCTATGGCTCTGTGTGTGTGTGTGTGTGTGCATGTGTGTGTTGCTTTACTTAATGTAAAGGCCGTCAGAAGGCCATCAGTCCCAAAGTTCTGCTCAGTGCAGTATACCAAGTCCAACCATCGCTGAGGGCCACCATCTGGGTGTGAAGCAAGGAAAGCTGACAGACTATGAGCAGGTCATTACCCAGTTAGATGGAAGCTGTTGGAACCAAGAGGCTTGAGGGGAAAGCGGGGTGCTCCAGGTGTGTCTGAAGGGGGGCCTGATAGAAAGAGGCAGAGCATCTGCCATGCTTCTCAGTAGGAGGCAAGGGGAACACCTGGAGGACTTCCTGGTCATGATGTGGGTCATGGCAGGAAAGACCCATAGCCAGAGCAAGGGGGCTTGAGGAAGCAAGACTGCCATGCAAAGAACATACATCAAGCCAACAGCTAAGGGAATCCATAAGTGTGGGAGATAAAAACTGGCTGGAGAGCAACATGGCAGCCATGGTCTCAGGAAGAACACAGTTGTGCTGCTGCAACCTTGTTTGTGTTGAGTCATCAATTTGCAAGTGCTTTTCTCCTGCTGCACATGCAAATGTCCGGAGGCTGATCCTCTTTAAACCTGCCAGGCACACTCTCTGTCCAGTCTGCACCAGGGACCAAGTTCAGTCAGTTCTTCCAAACTATTATGGGAGAAAATGATAATTTTGATTCAGCTGGCCTTACTTTCAGCAGTCCTTGGAGGTAATATTCTTTCCTCAAACTGGATTTGCTCCATGGAAAATTTCAATATATGCACCAGGTCACTGTATAATCCCTTTCTTTCCAGGTGTGCCTTCAGAGGTCCAGCTGGTGGAGTCCGGAGGAGATGTAAAAGGGACTGGGGAGTCCCTCCGCCTCTCTTGCCAGGCCTCCGGCTTCACCTTCAGAAGGTCCCCCATGGCCTGGGTGCGCCAGGCTCCAGGGAAGGGCCTGGAATGTGTTGCCATTCACACTGGATTAATAGGTAGAGCTGGACCCATCAGATACTATGCAGACTCGGTGAGGGGGCGCTTCACCATCTCTAGGAATGACTTGTCCAACATGCTGTAAGTGCAAATGAACAGCCTGAAGGCCAAGGACACGGCGATGCATTACTGTGTAGGTGGCACAGTGGGAAGAAATGAAGGTGCGGCCAGGAAAAAACCCTCCTGTGGTCCTGGGACTTTGCCTGGTGTTTCCCTGCTGCAGACTGAACAGAGGAAGGGGCTGCCAGGCTCTGTTCCCAGTCACTCTTTTCCCAGAACGAGCCACTGAGCTTTGTGCACCTCCAGAGGCATCGATTGAAAGGGAACAATACTCTACTAATAAAGCCACTGTGGTTTAGCAGTTAGGAGCATCGGACTGGGCCTTCAGTGAGCTGGGTTCATGTCCCTTCTCAGTCATGGAGCCACCTGGGTGACTCTGGGCCAGGGAAGGACTCTCAGCCCAGCCCACCTCACACGGGGCTTGTTGGAAGGCTTAGGCTGGCAACAGGAAGAGGGGAATGATGTCACCTGCTTACACTTCTTGAAAAGAAAAATGTTGGTATCCAAAAGAATACATAAATCTATAAAGACATCATCCTTGAGATTAAGCCTGTAGGCAAATAGTTCCTCCTCCTCTTTGTACTCCATTTTGTTTAAGCTAAGCTGTTATTCATCTTTGGCTGTAGAATGATGTAATTCACGGCCACAAGGAATGGGGGTGGCCATCAAGATTCTGAGGGAGGTGGCTCTCTAGGGCCACTGGCCTTGCTGGCTTTGTAGCCTCTCTTGAACCGGAAGTGCCAAGCCAGAATGCCCCAGTTCCTGGGGGCTTGACCCAGTGGAGGCCATGCCCCTGTCCTGCCTGAGGACCCCTGTGGTCAGCTGACTTGCTGCCATGGGTACCGAGAATCGGTCTGTGGGTCTGATCCAGCATCTCATATGTTGTCTTCTCCTGTTCCTGGCCTGTGGAACCACACAGGAGCCGCATGCAATTGAACCATGGTGGTCATCATCCACAGAATACCTAGAATGGCCTTATCCCTCTTCCTCAGTTCAACCTTGGCCGGGAGGATACTGCGCTCCATGGCACTGGAGTGAAGCATAATTTGAACCCCAGAAAAGCTCTGCTCCTTGTACAGCAGCCTCCTGTTCCATTCTGCAGATCTACCTGGAGGAAGACAATAATGTGAGCAGAGGCAGGCTGCCTGAGACCAACCTCCATACAGCCCAGACTTCTCTTCCCAAAGGACACATTTCTCACAAAGTTATCTAGGCAGCATGTTCTACAGCAGAATATTCATAGGAAATTGGAAGTGAGATTGCCACTGTTGGGTGAGTGGATTTTCCTGCCAGTCTCCCACCCCATGACTGGACTGCATGAATGCAAATGAGGCAGTAAGTGCACAAGAATGAAAAAGTTAAATGCATTCAGCCATGCAGGGTAGGCAACAGCATCATAATTTGAAGAGGACCCATCTGGAGTAGCAGCTGCTCTGTGAACCTTCCATGGGGATGTTTGCTTGCCAACGGCACCTGCCTATCCTTCCTGTCAGTCCCCTGAGATGCTCCCCAGGATTCATTGCAAGCTGTCAAGGAAAGAGTGAAAGGGAAGGAACGCACAAATATTTTCCAGAAATGTTATCAAGGAATCAAAGGAGCATTGGATCGTAGGATCGTAGGATCATAGGATTCTATGGTCATAGGATGATAGTGTTGGAAGGTGCCAGAAGGCCATCAGCCACAACCCACTACCAGCAGCAGGACTCCATGTTCAACCATCCCTGTGGGCAGCCATCTTGGCAGGAAACAAGGAAAGCTGGGAGCAAGAGAAAGGACTGTGAACAGGTCCTTCCTCAGTGAAAGGGAGGCAAACAGCTTTGAATGGAAAAAGAGGTGTCCCCATGTGTGTCTCTGATTGGGAGCTTGAGGGAAGGAGGCAGAGCATCTTCCACGCTTCTCACTAGGAGGCAAGGGGAAGACCTGGAGGACTTTCTGATCATGATGTGGGGCATGGGAGGAAAGTCCCATAGCCAGGGCAAGGGTGCTTTGGGAGTCAAAATGTCCATGCGTACAACACCCAACAGCACTGCAGCCGAGGACGTCCGTAAGTGTGGGGCGGAAGGAACCAGGGGCAGTGCCATGTGGCAGGTGTGTGCTCAGGAGGAACGGGGTTGTACTGCCACAACCATGCCTGGGTTCCACCATAGATCTGTGAGGGCCCTGCCGGTGCTTTTATTCTGACCCATATGCAAATGTCCTGAGGCTGCTTCTCTTCAAATCCACCAGGCACAAGCTCTGTGCGCTCTGCACCTGGGTCCACTTTGTAGTCAGTGTTTTCAAAGTGTTGGAAGAAAATGATAGCTTTGCTTCAGCTGGCTTTAATGTCAGCAGTACTTGGAGGTAATATTACTTCCTCAAAAGTGATTTGATGCATGAAATGTGGTTATGTACACACCAAGTCACTGTCAAATCCCTTTTCTTCTAGGTGTGCAGTCAAAGATGCAACTGGTGGAGTCCAAAGGGGATGAGAGGCTGGGAGAGTTCCTTTCACCTCTCCTGTGAGGCCTCCGGCTTCACCTTCAACAACTACCACATGGACTGGGTGCGCCAGGCTCCAGGGAAGGGCCTGGAATGGGTCGCAAGAATAAGCAACATGGGGTCCAGCACATACTATGCAGACGCGGTGAAGGGGTGCTTCTCCATCTCCAGGGACAGACCCTCCAATATGTTGTATCTGCAAATGAACAGCCTGAACTCCGAGGACACGGCGATGTATTACTGTGTAAGATACACAGTGGGAGGAACTGAATGTGCAGCCAGGCAGAAACACTTTTGTGCTCCCAGGGCCCTCCCTGGAGCTTTCACTGCTGCAGACGGACCAGAGGAAGCATCTTCCAGGCCGGTGTTTGGAAGT